CAACGCCAATTTAAAAAAAATCCAAAGTATTTAAGTATTAATTTTTTGATTTTCATGACCTTGTAGTAAAAATATAAGCGTGGTTTCTTTTATTATGAAAATTATCAATTTGGGCGAGTTAGGACTGCTGTAATCTTTAATATTAGAAAATGAACATTTCTTCATAAAGTGAAAGTCTGATTAAAGTTGCCTCTGGTAGCCGACGCCATCTTTATTAACTAAATATTCGTTTTGTGTTTTCCCATCATGTCAAACCTCACAGTTTATGACTGTTTTTCAACGTAAAGTGGACACCCTCAGTTCTTCACCACCATACTGAAGCCGAATTGATCAGACTCGCTATTTCAACTTCTAAGCGCTCGTGTATATGTATATATTTATAATAAATTTCATTCTTACCAATGTAGTCATTCCTGTATAATTTTCAACTTTCTCCAGCGATGATCAGAATACATTCTCAAGTTATCTTAAAATAAACTGTCTTCATATACGAATGGAATATTTCAGAATTCCTTTACCCTGCCAGATGCTCGGTATCTTGAGATGGTCTACGAGCATGATACCTGTTTTTTTTAGCAAGTAATGCATCCATAGAGAAATGTCATATAATCTTTGAAACATTTACTTATCAGATATTTTCTAAATGTAAGTACAGTGAAATGTAATTTGAAGCTTTATTATTATGTAATAAATATTGTTGGATATCGTTATTATTTTTTTGTGCAAAGCTAAACAATGGGCTCTCTGTCTACTGCGGTGAATCGAGCCTCGGATTTTACAGTTCTAAGTTCGTAAACTTACTGCTGATCGAACAAAAGAAACCCTTGACAGTTAGGACAACTCATGTTTGGTGGAAGTTTTTATTTAAGTCAAATATGTATTACTAAATTTACTGTGATTTTTAACTAAGATTTGAAAGATGAAGCTTCTAAGTGTGCAAATAGTCAGTGAAGTAATGCTATACGTATTGTTACAAATTAAAGAATAACATTTTATACTACTAATAAAAGAAAAACAATCTTATACGAAGCATTTCATTTTATTCTTTGTCATATACAAATAGAATAACTTATACAAAAGGCAAAAATAATACTGCACTTAACTGTATTTACAATGTCGTTTTAATTATCCAAAATAAAATAACAAAATAATAAAATCACCATTAAATAATGAATAAGTTACAAGTGTATTCTACAAAGGAGAAGAAACATTTTTGATGAAAAGACGGAACAATAGAGACACACAAAGCTTATTCTGAAAATGTTATTGACATGATTCATTCATTACCTGCATTGTAGGTTGATAGGTTCTGTATTACAAATAAGAGCTACAAACATAGCTTTGATCGCATTATAAGTTATTCTATTAAACAAATGTAATAATGTTACGAATAAATCCTATATTTTATTACCATTATTTGAAACAACGACACAATATTTTATATTTAGATATTTACGTAATTGGTTACAATAAATACTAAGTGACTAGAAATTGTAGTTGTAAATTAATGCCGAATATCTTTAATTTATTTAGCATATACAAAAGTATTCTTTAAGATTTTTATTTATTATTTAATCAATCATAAAATTTAATAGTTAAATTCAAATTCAAAGCTTCAGCCATTTTCTTCATAGAAACGACATCGTCTTTAGATATTTGATCGCACGATAATATGTTACACGAATTAAGATCATTTTCAGACAGAAGTAAAGGCTTTATCCCATTGATTGTAATCGCTGGAATGTCGGACAGTTCTAGTTCTTGGAGACGCATGAAGGAATTTTTCTGTAAAATACGCGCCATACAGTCGTCGGTTAGACAGTCACACCAGCCAACAAACAAGTGTTTTAAACAGTAACACGATCCAAGCAGCAAGAATAGTTCTTCTTCTCTGATGCTGTTTACTTCCGATGGAAACAGCTTTAAAGTGGTTAGTTCCTGAAAATAGGGTGACTGCTGATCTAGTCCTCCATTCCGGTGGAATCGAAGTATTTTCAGACATTCCAAGCTTTTTAAGTGTGGACAATGGCGATTGATGGCAGAAATATCCACTTCTGTGGTTACTAGTTCAAGATAGGATATATGAATACCCACCTCTGCTAGCAGCTGTGTGAAAGCTTCGATAAAATCCCGACAAGTATGATGCCTACAATCAGTAAGAGACAAATGAGTCAAGAAACTCAACTTAGATAATTCATTGATGGCTTTCGGGTCATCAATAGTTATTTTGATTTCACTTAATGAGGGACATAAGGATACCAGGGTCTTAACATCTTCTGGCGTCAAGGGACTTTGATAGAGGTCATCCTGGTATGTCATGAGGCCAAGTCGAATAGAAGAATGAGCTGAAAGAACATTTTCTTTTTTACCTAGAAACAGGATGGCTTCTGTAAGTTTTGGTATCTTCAGGTGGATGAGTTGTGTTTGTTTCTGCAACACTCTGACAACAGCTTCTAATGTAATATTTGGTTGGTAGTTACGGTCACTGTCAATTATCAAAGTGTGTAGATGTGGACACCCACCCCTCTCAGTCGGACTCCCAAACAAGCCTAAGAGACCTTGGTCAGAAAGATACCAACCACTAATATACAGTTCTTCAATGAAGTTACAAGTTTCTCCAACTGTCACCAGTACATCATCATTCAGTTTACTACTGTAAAGTACCAAACGACGCAGAGAAGGCAAACATCTGATTGTACTTACTAGTTCGTCGTTGTTCCATAAAACACATCCAGTTAAAGCCAGATCGACTAAATTTGTTCCACATGCAGCAATCTTTCTCAGTAGTCGTTGAAACCCCAAAGGAACGTTACGTAAACTTTTGGATGCTGAGTATTGGAGACAAAGAGTTCGGACATTCGCTGATAGCAATAGTTCCAGTTGATTATAGTATATCCCACCAGGTTGTAGTTGATGAACAATTTTTATTACTTTTTCCATTACAGCAGACGGTAACCATTGTAGATTTTCTGAAAATACACCCTTGCTAATACCTTTGTGTATAATGGAGGCTGATGAACGTACACTATGTGTACATACACGTTCTGCAACTTTTTGAAGACAAATGTCTTGTAGAAGTTTGGGGTTCTTTCGACGAGGCATAGAAACCTTAAAAAAAAGATGTTAAAATATTTGGCCCATAAAATATTATTATTATTTTCTACTACAGAATACTTTAGTAGGTACATTTTATATTATGGAACTCTGGAAACATTACACCTGAAGAGCTTTTACATAAAAAAAAACTGTAATATACAAAGGATGAGTATGTTATATTAAAACGATTTTAGAGCCTCACCACGTCGTTACAGTCCATATTGCTAAGTTTAGTCATATTCTATCTGATGACCATGTACCTTGACAATAGTCCTACAACGCAGTTTCCAATGCAAAAGGCTCCGTCGCATTACTGTCATGTTCAAAGCACACCATTCCTCTATGTATACTTTCCATAATCAAATATAGTGTACGAGGACAAAGATTTCAAGACATCTAGTTTAACTCCTCAATAACAAATAAATTTATAGGCAATGCACCTAGCAACTTGATCAGTATGTCTTCCTATGGTATAGCATGAATGTCCATTTCATTCTCCAGCTCATTGAGGTCTGCAACAGTTGAACGGATATGTCGTGGAAGAAGCTTTTGTACATGTGACTTGTGTCACTTTTCCAGATTGAGATCCTTCTTGATTATGTTGTACACTGTTTTCTGGGGCACATGAATGAATTTTTGCCATTGGCCTTTGTGTTCGTGTAATTTCACCTGTTACATGATACCACAGTTTGTTTACAATGGCTGGGGTATGAACTATTGCAAATTTATTTCTGGGTGATCCTGGTACCGCAAGTTAATCTATATTTCTATTTTTCATTGCCATCAAGTACAAATTTCGGTGGCATAACACTATCTAAGAAATACCAAATAATGTCGAAATGTAGTTTTGATACAGACCGTCCGTCAAAAAATGGTCCGAAAACAAAGATGCTGAATTAATTTTAATTCTAAATAAACAATAAGCCGATAAAAAAATATGTTGAATTAATTAAATGATACAGTATATCGAAATGAGATGTTATTGTTTTTACTACAGCACTGTTTTTCAATCACCATGCTAAAGTTATAGGTTCATGGGCCTCAAAGTTTTTTTTATTCACATCAGGGGAACCTCAGACTAAAAGTTTGTTTGTTTTGAATTTCGCGCAAAGCTACACGAGGGCTATCTGCGCTAGCCGTCCCTAATTTAGCAGGGTAAGACTAGAGAGAAGGCAGCTGGTCATCACCACCCACAGCCAACTTTTGGGCTACTCTTTTACCAACGGATAGTGGGATTGACCATCACATTATAAAGCCCCCACGGCTGAAAGGGTGAACATGTTTGGTGTGACGGGAATGCGAACCCGCGACTCGCAGATTGCGAGTCGAGCGCCCTAACCACCTGGTCATGCCGGGCCCAGACTAAAAGAGTTTTGGAACCACTGGTCTATTCAACAGCACGCAAATACAAGGGAGATAACTCAATCGCTCATGTGCACATAGAAGTTAACATTTCTTTCTCTAAGTGCAAGTGAAATCTTAGCTAGTTCTGAACAAGACTAACAGAATCGGCCATTATATAAATATTGAATAGGGCTAACTCTCCCAGATTGCATTTGTCATTCACATCAACTGATCACTTCATTTTCAAAACTGGAAAGACAGTATTTTCATTTATTTCTAAATCTATACTTGATCGATGCTGCAAGAGAACATATTAGCATAAGTCTAAAGACGTCTGCAGTGCCACCTTCCGCTGGAAAGTAAAAGAATACCGGGGTATTTGGTAGCCCTTGACAATGTGTGATTAGCACAAGAATAAGGTTTGCACATTTTAAAGCTGGCTACCTCATGGATATGAATTCAACACGATGTGTTCAATGCATTTAATTGTGAACAATTTCGAGAAATTTGATGAACATAAAATGTTAACCTTTTTTCTAAACTAAATGGAAAAGAAACAGCCGGTAATTTCCACAAACTATAAATTCATTGTAAGTGTGTATTTACGAGTTTGAATGTTTTAAATACGATAAATAGAACATGTTCATCTGCTACGTACTTAGCCCATTCCACAATGAAAACAAGTGGTTTTTCAGTTCTAAAACTAACAATCGTGATGCCTATTATAAATTCTTTAAAATCACTACTTTGTGTTCACGCACCTAAGTGTAGCACACATAGTGTGGTAATTTAATTTTCTGTTTCCAGTGGGCATGATTCAAAATCGGGACCTCTTACACTATAAGCGAGTGCTTTACCGATTGTGCTAGAGAGTTAATCACTAGTAACTATTAGTAAAGAGTAAAGACTTTTTATCAACTCAAACTATCATATTATTCCCCTCAACCAGTCCTCCTAATTTGTCGCAGAGTCGAGAGATAGACACTAGATGGGTTTGTTTTTTATATATTTTGATTTGTGTGGTAATTTTTGACTCATTAAAGCTTGCTAATGACACAGTTATTAACTACTCAAACTACCACAGTATTTCACATGACTATCTGATGTCAAGACAAAGCTGTTAATGCAAGACAAATAAAATAGTCTTTTTTAAATCCTTGACAGTAATTCAAAACATTTAAGACTATACTCAAGTTACTTATAAAAGTAAAAGAAATGAAAAAAAGCAGACTTTGCTTTTGGTCTTTAGTTTATGTGTATTGTTAAGTGATCATGAGTCGTATGTTATATGCAAAATTCTGCCTTATTAAACAAGGTATATAGTTTTTTATGTTTCTATTGCTATTTGCTTATACTGTGTAGAAAATAGTACCAAGACTAGAAATATAATCAATATTCTTCAATACATTAATGTCAAATCGTGTTTTTTTTTTATTCGAAATGATGAGAAATCACCAAGAGCTTGATAATATTGTTGTAACGTGTTCTATCATTAGATGGGTTCTTTTTGGATTATTTGGTAAAAATAATATAGAATTTAGTACGTCTGATGATAACGCTTGCTATTGGCTACGTTCATTTTGACGCAAGTTGTAGGCCTATGTTCACAAACAAATCTTCCAAAGTAAACTCTGAAACTCGTGTAATTCTAATTGTAATACACTAATAACGTTTAATAGAAATGTTCTTAATTAATAGCAAACATTAACTAACTTACTGATTAGCTTACAAAAACACTAACTTTTAGTGGATAACTATACTCGATCATCCACACACTGATTCTGAATACTTTACACTAACTTCTTACTCCTATGTATAAATAAAATTAAATTAACAAGCTAAGACACTTGTCCTACGTCCGGGGGTATAACGACTGAAGTATGGATTGAACTAATAAATTAAATCTATAATTTGTATTTATCAATATATACATAACTTATTTCACACATAATTTACTTTATAGTTACTTTATTTCACACCTATTTTATTCTATATTACAGAAATTGTGTTAAAATTACTTTATTACCTTTACTAATCCCTCTCACAATCTTAGTGTTTGTTGGCATTCTGTTTTTTCATAGCCACATTAGAAGTTCTTCTTTCTTCCTGGGCTTAAAATATTTCTTGGTGATTTTACTTCTGAACACCCAACGTAGAACTGACCATGTAAAAAGCAAGGGGGTTTTCAGATGTAGCCCTGCCAATTTAAGGGTCTGACCTTGTGCTTTGATTACCATTTTCCTGGCAAAAATGTGAATGTTTGACATTTCTAATGAGTAAAGTAAACATTTTCCAAGAAAAACTTAAAAACAATTTCAAGGAAAAACTCAAAATTAAAAATTTTAGAAATAAAATTGGTTTAAGACTACGGAGTCATTATCTAAATAAGCAAATTTTGGCTGTAAACATGGCCTGTGGTGGGTGGGGTCAGATAGTAACCACCATATGACATGGCCCTTGGTCCATTGTATCATCTTATTAAGTTTGGTTCAAAGACCACGAAGTAGTTCGCGAACAAAAAACACATTTTGTTTTTTACTTTTATAAGTATAGCTGCACCCATGCATAGACGTCACCGTGAAATTTCTGGAGATTCTAGGCCTACTTTTATGAACATCTAAATTAAAACAACAGAAAATATAGATTACAACAATATGAATTCTATAATATCAAAGTATGAAGTAAAATGTATTGTAACTGCTTAAAAATAGATTATTGAGGCTGTTAATGATATTGCTATCCCTGATGCATTTTAAACTTTTTTCTTTATTCATGAAGGTCATACTATAACAACGACATATTAATTGCGCTAAGCGTAAAGAATTTTGGATCTCTTTGCAAAAATATTATATTTTACAAAAACTTCTTTTTATTAAGAAAATATTTTAAAATAACGTAAAATACACCTTTGTATTTACCCTTTAGGCTTTGCCAGTTAACTTTCACAATATTTAATAAACGAATTGAAGAATTATAAATAAAATGCAACTGTTTAGATACTTTAATAAACTGTAATGTTTCTTATTTCTAAGAAAGTACCGTTTTATAACATAAAATCGTCATTAAGAAATGAATGTAAGTAATAATGCATTACTTTCTTGCATTTCATAATTTTGTTTTTATTTCTCATAACCGACTATAACACGTACAATACGTACGTAAAAATTTTCATACTAGATAGCATTACGTCTTAAGCAAAATTCTATGATCACCACACGATACTTGTAACATTGTATGAAATCATATAATGCAGTTATTTAGCTTCAAACTTTCAAAATGCTAGTATGTAACTTCCTGCCGCTTTTGCCTACAAGTAAGTTTATAGTAGCTTAAAAGTAAAAGCGCTAACCAAGTGAATATCGCTATAAATTATAATATAATTTATAAATAATTTGACTTATTTCCTCATTAGGGTTCATATCTAAATACATTACGATAATGCATCACTTACGAAATTTCAGCAGAGTGATGCTAAAAAATTCGTTTTCCCTACAAATTTACCAAAGTTCAAATTCGATGAGTCTCACACACTCCCAAATTATGGAAACGTTTCTTATGTCAGTCTGCCTGGTAGTAACTTGGTCAAGATCGATTGAATTGTAGGTCTATGAAAAGTAAAATGTGACAATTTATCACTGTAAAATATTGGAACTGTTTTTCTATTTCAATTGAACATTTTGAAACGATTAAAACAAAGATAATGTGATAATTGCTTGCAGGGACAGTCTATCCAAAAGATTTGATTTTTTTAAACTGCTTAATTAGGACTTAATCGGATGTTCAGTTTCTCGCTAACAGCTGACGAGTGACGAACAGGTAATTATATTACTCTTTTAAAATTAATTTTGTGTGAATTAAATTCAGTTCATGTAATTTTTTGGTCATATAAATACAAACTTATAAACGGGTAATAAATTTAATAAACTTTAGATTGTAAAATAAGAAAAAATTCACAGTTTATTATTAATTTGTGAACTGTGTGAGTAGTACTAGAGTATATTATAGGTTATGCAGCACCCCACTCAGTTTTTTAAGGAAGAGCCGTTATGAAATAATTTTCCTGAGCCGTTCCCAATCCCCCTGGATTGCTTGATCATAGCTTTAGTTGTTCTTAAACATATTTATTAATCCAGAGTCTGAGCATTAATAAATAACTTTTTACCATTCTAAGAATTCACTAGATGAAATAATGAGAAAAAAAAAATATTCCTCTCCTTCTGCCTTCTAGTTTTCGTGCATTAGTTTTACAGTTGACTTCATTTTAGCAAATAATATTGGTACGTACTTGTAAAGAAGTTACTCCGATTCTCCAGGAATAATTTTCCATTTAACTTTTGCGAAATCATATTCATAAGAGCTATGTATAAACAACAAATTTGTGTGGTGTTTTTTTTCTTTATGTCAAACCTTTTAGTGGCTAGATGATCATAAGTTTTATCGTTTACAAAACGTAATCCGTAAATCGGTTAAGTAAGAAATAATCGCCAAAAAAACACGAGTTGGGAACATTACCTTACGAAAAAAAGTAATTCAAAATGTGTTCACTTGGAATACATAAAAGAGTAATGGTGCTGGGTACTTATCTCTTGAACAACATCTTAAGCAACACAAGAGTTAAACGGTTTGGGTAAGAGACTCTAAGATAAAGACAGCCGTCCCTAGTATTACGACAGTGGAAGTCACGTGATTCTGGTAACACGTGATGAGATTCTCGAAATATCGTTAATTGTCCTGGCAACTCTAGTCAGTTCCAGGCGCACTCTTTTTTAGTATATAAGCCCGGCAAATAAAGCGGAATGAGAATTGCAGATAGATAGATATAGAGACAGATAATTGAGTCAAGGGAGCGGTAGTGACGGTAATATACAGTGTGTGTTTTGTTATCGAGATTGCAAACGTATTAACTGTGGAAATTCACTACCGCGCTTGACTCAATTGCCCGTCTCTGTCTGTCTGCAATTATCTATCTACCGTCACTTCATTTGCCGGCTTATATATATACAAAATAGAGGGCGTCTGGAGCTCAAGAACGGACATGATCTTTCTAGAATCTCAT